GAAGAGAAAGAAGAGAGAGAAAGAAGAAAAGAAAGAGAAAGAAAGGAAAGAAAGAGAAAAGAAAGAGAAAAGAGAAAGAGAAGAGAGAGAAGAGAGAGAGAGAGAATTGAAGACAGCAGAAAGAAAGGGAAAGAGAACTGAAGTAGATAACAGAAAGAAAGGGAGAGAGAAGAAAGTAGAAAGGGGCGAGACCACACAGAGAGGGGAAAAGGGGGAGAATGAAGAAGTTTTGTGGTGGAGAACGAAGAGAGTGGGAAAGAGAGAGAACGATGAGGGAGAGTGGGGTGTTAGGAGGACAGGGAGAAAAGAAGAAACTCGGAAAGAGCGAGATAAAGAAAGGGGAACTGGAATGGGATTAGGAAGACGGAGATCAGAAAGGGAGAGAGAAAGCGAAAATTGAAGGATGGGAAAGACGAAAGAAAAGACGGGAGAAGAAAATAAATGGAAAGGGAGATAAAGGCGAAGGAGGATGGAACAAGAGAGGGGAAAAAGAAAAGGAACTGGAAGAGGGAAGCGAAGAAAAGAAAGAGACAGAAGAAAGATGTGAGAAAAGAATGAAGAGAGGAGAAAAAGAGGAAAGAAGAAAGCAGAAAAGATAAGATGAAGGTGAGGACTGTAACAAGTAACAAGTAACAAGAGATAACATATGAAATTGCAATGCTAGAAAGGCTAACGGGAAGAAAAAAAAGGAACCAGAGAAAGGGGAGGGGGCAAGGCCCGGGGGGGGGGTCACAGCTGGTCCACTAAAGACCTGACTCATGCAAGGTTTTCCTTACCTCATCCTTCCATTCAAACTCCTAATCCTTAATGCTTTGGCCCGTGCACGCTCATCTGCACACTCGTTCCCTTTATCCCATGCACGCGTCTGCCAGCACATTCGTCTGCTCATCTCAACACCTTAAACCGTTCTCTTTAACTGGGACGCTCGCTAATTTGACCTTCACTCACCTATACTCTGAATTTGTACAAACCCCAGCAGAGTCTCGGTCTTTGCCGCTATAACAACGGGGGCCCGACTAGCTCCTAATCTGCACACTAGCCGAAGAGCTTTGAGTGTCGCCACTTGATCTACACCCTGGTATGAAGACCTTTCCTTGGACATTTGTCCTACAAAGTGTAAGTGATCCCTTCGTCCGCGAGTTAATGAGCTTAGAATATATGAGATAATGAGGTTGTGTAAAATGAGTGCCACTGTGTCTGCGAGTCGCCCCCGCTGCCGCAGCCCGCGGGCGCCTCAGGCCATTAGTATGATCTGCAAGAGGTTCTCAACGACCCTGCCACAGCCGGACGCAGCAGACTGGGCTGGCTTTGCGGCGCGGTCTCTGGTGCAGTGTATGGCGTGCCGGTCGCGCCAACTGCTCTTTTATTCATAATGGCGGGGAACTGTGCTACTGTGGCGGCAAGTGGTGTGAGTAGTACTTTCTGTGGTGTTGTATAACATGGTCTAGTGCTGGCAATGGTGCTAAGTTTCACATATTCATCTTAACCTCAGATACAAGACAATATAACGCTGCCTATCGTGTTGCATGACACAGCTTGGTGATAGCAGTAAGGCATCACTCTGTCTACAAGGCATAACACCACGGAACACAGCAAAATACCTAAGTCTGATGAACGCTTTGCCCTACAGTGCCATCTCTGAGTCACCATACTTACTGTGGTTGGTGGTGTTGGCGGCGTCCACCTGGTCGTCGCCATCTCCATTGAGACCGGGGTTTCTGATCGCTGACCACACGCGGTGGCCCACGTACTCGCGAACGTAAGGCGGACATTCTCTGCAAAGGAAAATCAGAGGTCAGTGAAGCCGAGAATCGCAGGGGCATCATTACGTGCCCAATCGCACCACATTTACTGAGGGAAGTAAGAGAGCAGGAGAAGGAGAGGGAGAGGGAGTACGTGGGATATGAAGGAGTGAGGATGAGGGGAAGAGAGAGAAAAAAGAAAAGCGGACAGAAAGAAAGAGGAGGAGAGAAGGGAACAGAGAATTAGGGAGAGAGAGAGAGAGACGGGAGAGAGAGAGAGAGAGAGAGAGAGAAAGAGAGACAGAGAAGAGAGAGAGAGAAGAGAGAGAGAGAGAGACGGGAGAGAGAGAGAGAGAGAGAGAGAGAGAGAGAGAGAGAGAGAGAGAGAGAGAGAGAGAGAGAGAGAGAGGGAGAGAGAGAGAGAGAGAGACGGAGAGAGAGAGAGAGAGAGGGAGAGAGAGAGAAGAGAGACGGGAGAGAGAGAGAGAGAGAGACGGAGAGAGAGAGAGAGAGAGAGGAGAGGAGAGAGAGAGAGAGAGACGGGAGAGAGAGAGAGAGAGAACGGGAAGAGAGAGAGAGAGACGCGGAGAGAGAGAGAGAGAGGAGAGAGAGGAGAGAGAGAGAGAGAGAGAGAGAGAGAGAGAGAGAGAGAGAGAGAGAGAGAGAGAGAGAGAGAGAGAGAGAGAGAGATGAGAGAGAGAGAGAGAGAGAGAGAGAGAGACGGGAGAGAGAGAGAGAGACGGGAGAGAGAGAGAGAG